ACACAGTACTCCAGGTGAGGCCTCCCCAGGGCTGAGGAGAGGGGCAGCATCACCTCCCTCCACCTGCTGGCAACACTCTGCCTCACGCACCCCAGGATCCCATTGGCCTTCTTGGCCACAGGGGCACACTGCTGCCTCATGCTTCACTTGTTGTCCACCAGCACTCCCAGGTCCTTCTCTGCAGAGATACTTTCCAGCAGGTCAGCCCCTGCTGACCCCCTGTCCCTGTCCCTCTGAATGGCAGCACAGCCCTCTGGTGTGTCAGCCACTCCCCCCAGTTTCGTATCAGCAGCAAACTTGCTGAGGGTGCACTCTGTCCCTTTCTCCAGGTCATTGATGAATACGTTGAACAAGACTGGACCCAGGACTGACCCCTGGGGGACACCACTAGCCACAGGCCTCCAACTAGACTCTGTGCCATTCACCACAACCCTCTGAGCTCGGCCATCCAGCCAGTTCTCAATCCACCTCACCATCCACTCATCTAGCCCACACTTCCTGAGTTTACCTACAAGGAAGTGATGCGAGACAGTGTCAAAAGCCTTGGTGAAATTAAGCAGACATGGATGACAGAGACTGAATATATAACTCATTAAAAAAAAATACACCATAGGAATTAACAGTTCTTACAATATAAGTCATCCGCAGAGTCCTCAAGGGTCTGTGGCAATCTGGAGAGTTATCAAGGTCACTGATGTTCTAAGTTGCTCAAGGTTGTAAGGACAAAGACAAGTGCAAGGATTACAGAAGGACCTTATGAGACCATCTCAGTATTCAATAAAACTGAGAGGAAGTTCAGTGTAGATAGATGTAAAAAGATGAACCCAGGGAAAATAGTTCTGCGTTCCATATAAAACAACGGCCTCCGAGCCATTACAGCTTACCAATGAGAATGTGGGATTGTGATGAATAGTTTCATGAAAATGTCAGCACAGTGCTAGGAAACATCCAATAAAGCTAATGAAGCGTGAGAAATAATTTGTAAGGGAAAAGACAACAACACGGAGATTATCATTGGGAAACCTCATCCATCCAAGGCATACATCTGTGTGGCCAAACTTGGAATACTGTTTCCATCTTTATCTCAAAATGGATACAGCATAATTGAATAAAGCTCACCAAGTTGCAGCAAGGATGCTTACAGGTAATAGCATGGCTTCCATATAAGGAATAACTGAGTTGGTCAGGACACCGAAGTCGGGAAAACAGATGACAAGGAGGAATATGATAGAAGTCTACAAAAAGTCTCAGGCATCAAATGATAGAAGCCATGATCAAGGAAAAGAAGGAGCGGGCCATCCAACATGCAGTCAGCATGTCAGCATTACACTGTGGAGTGCTGCCAAAAGAATGTTGTGGATGCTGCATGTATACATAGTCTCAAAGGAAGACAGAACAATTACATGGAAAAAAAATTGATGGTTATGAAACATGTAACACCACATTTAGCGCTGCAAGCTGCAAGCAAGTCCCCTGAACTGAAAAAAGTTGGAGGCTGAGGGAATGTTAGGTAGGAACGTCATACAAGCCTACCCTTGTCCTTATTCTTCTGCAGGCATCTAATTATGACCACTGGCTTGTTTCTTGGGGGAAGAAGAGGGGGCATTATTTGTTTGTTTGTTTTCTTCAGAAAAGAGCCTAACAGTCCCCCAAATTAAGCAGTGCTTCCTATATTCAAGTTTCCTACATCTGGTGAGATCACAGGGCACATCAAAAATGCAAAAGATGAGTCTCACTTGAGGAACCACCTGCGTGGTTACAATGTCTGCTCTGACTAGAGCAGGAGATAAAATACTGGTCTGATCCAGCACGGCTGTTTTCATACTGCCATGTCCCCACTCCATGTCAGTGACTGGCAAGGAAAGTAAAGAAAGGGAGGGTTTGAAAATATTTCTCTCCCACTTCCTGGATCCACTCATCAGAAGGACTTTTGATAACTTTTAATAAAAAAGTACTGATTTGCAAATTATTTCTTTTGTGGTCAACATATTAGCTGTCTATTACAGTCACATATAATGGCTGTTCACATTTTAAATATTTATTTAAAATCACCACTTTTTCTGGACCTTTTTTTTTATAGCAGTCAATAAAATACAAATCACAATGTTTAATTCAATATCTAAGTCATTCTACAATTTTTACATCTGATGAAAGTGACAATCTCGCAATGACCCAAAAGAAACCAGGTTTGTTTAAAATAAACATAAATAAAATTAGATATCAAAATTGATAATGAATATGTGACAATTATCTATATCACTTACACTTACTCAAATCATAGTGCAGCATTTTCACCTGATATCCAATTTAATGTATTTATGTAAAAGCATTAAATATTGAAAATATCAGTTAACCTGGCTCATGTAGGTCACCTTCTGAAGTAAAAGAAACAAAAAGAGCTAATATTCCTGGATGTTTTATCTCCATCGGGGAGCTGTGTTTAAGCAAGTTGAAGTGATTTCAAAAAGGCTGGCTAAACTATTTGGAAATTTTAGTTCAAAATGCATTCTAATTTGCCAGCTGCGTAAAACATGGTATTAAACTGTGATTTAAATCGTATTTGAGGAAGTTCACTATTTTATCTAGAAGAAAGGGTAACCATAGCTTCCCAGGATAAGTAAAAGTCATCACTTTGGACAGGTCTAGTAATACTGCCTTATCATTGCAATTGAAGTGATTTAAGCTGACATTTTATTTTGCAGTTGGTATAGGAATAGAAATGCACAAGCAGTGCAACATCATTGCATTAAATTTAAACCAATTATTTGCGGAAATTTGTCACACCAATATTGCAGTAATGTTGTAAAATGTATGAATTAAAATAAAGTAACTAAAAAGAACAAAATATCTTCAATCATGCATGAGCCTACACTGTCTAAACTTGAGGAAAGGCCAACACTTCCAGAATTCACTGCAGCTCAACTAGGAAGCTCACGTAAGATCCAGAAATTACAGGGCTTCCAGTCATCTTAGGTTCCTAAGAGGAAGTTGGTGCTCGGCTTTCGGAACCCCATGAACAGATGTTTAAAAATCTGAACTCAACTTGATCTCTCCAAGGCTTGATGCCAAGAAGAAAGGAGTATGATACTCAGAAGAGTTCTTCCCTAGCACCAAAAGTCTCAGGATCTCAGTTCCTAGATCTGCTGATTCTGGAAGTTCTGAAAGTCTGGCTCTTACAGCTTTTAAGTCCTTGCTGCAGAGCTCCCAGACATTGCTATCCTTGACAGTGTGAAGAGCTGCTAAGCCACCCAGACTCTGAGGCTCCCAGGCTGCCCTGCCTTTCAAAATGTTCTGGACAAGGTGTCCTGGGACTGCAGACTCAGAGAAGTGTGCTGGCTGAAACATCCACTCACAAACTGGACAGCCTTAAGGAGCCTACTCTGCTCCTGACACAATCAGCAATGACAGGGAAATGGAGCATGTGGAACACACTGCTTGATCTCTGCCCTCTGGCTCATGCAATAGCAGAGAAATCTATTTTAAGCTGTGAACTGTTGCCTTTTGTGGCAAAGCCAGCACCAGGGAAAACACAAAATTGCTTAGAGTTACATTCTCTATTCTCCTTTACTGTTATCAATGTAAAGTGAGGTAAAATTAAGCTTATGGAATTGTTTTATAAACCTGTTCATTCTCTTATTTTAACAACTACTTCCATCCATACCCACTTCAATTGACATACTATAGGGGTCAGATTCTTAAGCAGCTCTGGCCTGCAACAGCTGTCAAAAAGCAGGCAACCAATCTCCGTCTCTTATCGGTTAAACACAACTACTTCTGGGTAGAAGGAGAAGGATCAAAAGTTGTTTGGAATTATCGGATTTGCAGAGTTTAAGATCAAAAGAAATCCCTACAAGTCTGAAGTAGTTACATATTGCAGTCCATTACCTGCAACCCAATCATCCCTCACTTGAATCCAATAACTGCTATTTGGCAGAAGCAATTCTCCAAGGAAGCACCCCATATTGACCTGAAGCAGATGGCTTTCTGAGGTCATTTCTTGTCCAATTTTCAATGATGCTGTGATTTGCAAAACCCTTACATTTGAAGAATTTGTCATTCAGATAGGGTTTTTTTTTTCCATCAGTAGTTAATAACTTTCACTACTTTCAACTTGAATTTGTACAGCTCCAGCTTCCAGTTGTTGGGTGGCTTTTTATTTTAATTTTCGTTCTATAGCTTTTGCCGTTAAATAACGGATCATTTTGGTGCCTGATCTCTTTTCCCAGGAAGGTACTTTTAAATAATGATCTGATCATCTTTTAAGTTATTCAGACTGAAAAACTTATTAGATGTCTACATTACCAAATAGAGTTTAGAGAGCTTTATGCTATTGCTGTTGTGAACTGCAACCATACGGCACAGTGCAGGACCCTAGAGAGTTAGAATCTCATATCCAAAATTATTAAAGCTAATCAGTAAAGATCTGATATTGAGCTACAGTGAAAATCTTCCAAGCCTTCCAGCTCTCTAATTACAGGCCTGAAAAGTTTCACCTTCTTTAGCCTCCCTTTCAAGGCTGGTGGTTCATCTTTTCAGCTGTAAATGCCTGAACTCTGTATGAATGAATCTTCTCTGAACTGCTAATATTCCCCTTGATCTTTCACCATGAAACTTTGGCAAAACAAGCTTTACAGCTTTCTTTACTGTAAGCTTTACTGTAGCCCTGTAGAAGTCCTTCACCAGTAATACCTGTTATTTTTTAATTGCTCCTTATTTATTAATTTATCTAAAAAACAAACAAACAAACAACCCCCTGCACCACCTCCAAAATACCCTTATTCTAAAGTTCAAAATGTTTTACAGTCTATAGCTGGCTAGTATCAAGTTAGCTTGGAGTGCAAGAGGAAGTACTGGTGAAGACATACCTATATTTACATAAAATATTCATGTGTGTGTGTGTGTGTGTATTTTTAAAGATGAAGGGAAAAACAGCCATGGTATTGACCTTTCATAAAAATTCATGACATTTTCAAAGATTATATTTTAGATTATATGTTAATTCTTAGTTGAAGTAATTGCAAAGCAAATGGAATCAAATCAGCCTCACAGATCAATGATAACATAGCATTACTTACTTCTCCTTCTGCATATAATTACAACAGGCATGCTATTTAATATTAAAATGTTGATTATCCTTAAAAAGCACTGTATTTATGTTGACTCTTCTTGAGACTGACGCTATATCTTTGAAATTTTTTCGCTTCCTCACGGCTTATTTTCATATAAATGTTGACCTTTGTTTTCCATTCTGCAATCTCTAACCCATTCCATCTGCAAAGGACTATCTTAAACAGACCTGCAGTCTAAACCTCCAAACTCTTGACTGACAGGCAGAGGTGCTGCTGCCTCCCTTGTGCCTTCGACAGTTAAATAAGGTTTAGTGAAATTCCTGTATCTAGTCATAAGCTACATTGTACAGATGTACTAAGTGAACAAAATGCAAGAAAAGATGGGGCACATATTGGGAGCATTTCTGTTACCAAACATCTTAACAACCCTGTGTTTTCCCAGAATTAAACCCCTCCATGATCTTTAGATGATAAAGTATTTCAGAAATCTATAGTACAGAAATAACTACATTGAAGTTGTGACAGTTACCATCTGGGGCAAACCGAAAAGAAGCTATCTAACACTACTATCAAATCTCTGCCATGACCTCTTAAACTTCCAGTCATACTTTAATATAAGAATAAGAAATAAAAACTGAAGCCTTACGGGAAAGAATTTTTATCTGCTTATGCTGACATAATGTGTTAATGTTAAAAAATGTGAATTAAATTCAGAAGGAGATAATACAGCTTTAGTGGGGGAAAGAAAATAAAATATAAGAGCAGCGATCCAAACTGAAAATTAAAGCTTTCGTGACAGAGGAACAAAAATATTTATGGATACAGGTGCCTCCTACAGTGATATGAAGACATGCATTCCACTCTCAAAGGCCTATTAAGCCGAACTGCAAGTGTGCCATTGACGAATTAGGCTGGCTTTGTGCCAGGTTAAGGCAAAAATACTTGATCTTTACACTGACCATTTTTTCCCTGTTTGTAGTTGAACATGCCTCCAGTGTTCCACCACAATTAAATTAGTACATTTATATTTCCATATTGCTAGACGTCTAGTAACACTGAACAAATCATTACTTACTTAGGGGCAATGATGACGGTACTTCCTTCAGGTAATAAGAAATTCTCAGCATCTCTTCCTACTAGAGTAGCGTTGTACACCAAAGTTTTAAGGCTTGGGTTTTTCAGATGCACCTATCAGAACAAAACATTATAAAAATTTAGCCTATTTTAATTCTGTTTTTAGAGCACAAAAGTATGTTCCCCAACTAGCTTCCAAAACACAAAACAAGGATGTCACAAAAGAAGAAAGTACTTCAAATAACTAGGCCGATCACTCTTCTCCCTAAGGAGCATAAACTTCCCACAGACTTTCCAAGCTCCATTTTTTGCAGACCACACTGCGCTCCTACCTCAGCTGTTAACCTCTTATTCCTGTCTTTGATCCCAGAAACCACTGTTGGTTTTGTATATTTTCCGTGCTCAGTAAAAGCACAGGAAAAAAAAAGCAGTTGAAGTCAGAATCCCAAAACTGAAGGAAAAAAAGAGACATTCCTCCATCTTCTACATTTAATAGAGAAATTGCGTGAAGCACATTCATTCTTTGTTGTAGTACATATATAATACAAATACATACATGCACACAGAGTTTTTTAACCTTGTACTGCTGCAATGGTGTCAGTACCTTTTTAACAACGGTTGCATGGAGAGCACCTGTAAATTCAATAGTCTTCTTGGGCAAGTAGTGAGGGAGCCTTTCATACAAGTAAACACACAAAATAAGCATCATGATTGGGTTTGGATCACAGATGTCAGCGGCCTAATGTTGAAAACAGAAAAGAAACCATCACCAGAAACTCAGTTACAATTTTACCTGTATACTTTAGAGATAAGAGGATGAGGAACAAAAAGTGTAAGGTAATTCTTACTATGCAAATATTTTCAACTTAACTTCTACTATTTTGATTCAATGCATAGCTAAGATGAATATGAATCTTGTCAGTGTACAGAAAAAAATTCTTACAGAGTACTGATACACTTGTAATAAACCTAGGTAAAAATTAAAACCACCTTTTTGCCCCCCAAGTTCAGGAAAAACAGATGTTCATTTTATTATAAAAGAAACATAGTAGAAAAAAAAAGGAAAATTCACTGGCTGGAAAAATATATGTCTTTATTATTTTTAAAAAATAAAATAATATATTTCAAAATCTATTCGTTCACTACATAAAATACCATTCAGGGTACTCCTAGACACAGTTTTGCAACTATTTATTAAGATATAACCAGTATCTAACTGTAGGACCTCATACCTATAGAGTCATTTCTATTGCAAACACCAAATCCTTATAAAAGGTATTTCTACATCTTAAATATTTAATCTATAGACATGAATTTAAATGACAACTGCAAAACAGGTCAAGGTTTTAGTACTCAGAGACTCTATTATGTCCCTGAGAAGAGAGAGCTAAAAACTCTTCCATCAAATACACGAACTCTTTAGAAGTCTCATCAAATAGTGAAGAGTCTTTCTGCATAAATACACGCAGGATGCATCTGGCTACAAATTTAAAGAAATGAGATTCTGTACTTCCTGAATCAAATTAAATTAACCATTTTATCATTAAAATTAAAAGTATTAAGTATTTTAAAACTTCATCCATAATACCTTTTAATTTAATCTGTTATTATAATAAATTTGTCTGTAATAGATTAAATAATGTTTTATAATTACAGTTAACTTGTCTCCTAAACTAAATAACAAACCATACTGAGAAAAACACATACTTAGGAGTAGTTTTATGCAGCAAGTCAGTATAGTGACATGCCATCCCATTAAAAGGTGCTCTCTTTCACAAACAAGACATTTCATTTGCATCCCCTACATAAATAAGACCCATTCGATACAGCAATATTTTGAGAAAGACCCTCTTTTGCCTAACGCCTAGAAAGTGACTAGCATTTTAAACCTCACCTTACAGACAAAACTTTGCCCAAGTCTCAAACAAGGAACTGATGTGCTATGCTGTTGCTGACTGTCATCCTTTCTAAGCAACTTGGATGAGCTGCATGTAACTAGATGTAGCCTCATCCATTCACTCATTTTCATCACCCTATAATCAAGCTTCTTTCTTTACATGGTTTCTTATCACAAATTTGCAACTGTAAACTACAAAGACTAAACAGAGGACATATTTTTTTTTATTTTAAAAACGGCTCGTACATTGCTTCGAAACATTTGATATGCATAAAGAGTATGTCTTTGTAGTTCTGCCAGGCCAGGTCAGAGAGCTAGAAAGTAGGTATGAGTTACTTCTAAAACCCCAGCTTTTATGTTATGAAACTGCTATATTTCTTGTTTTGAGTTTACTAGGAACTTGACAATCTCTAAGATAGGCTGCATTTTCCAACACACTGACAATTAGGAAAAGATCTCTCTCTCTCTAGTGAGTAACTGTTGAAACTTTTACATCCTTTTTGAAGGATTATGGACAAACAAGTCTTAAACAATATAACACTACTTTGCAGCACAGGTTGACTTAGGATTCTAAAGACATTTCATTTTTTCATTATACTAACAAATTGACTTAGGATTCTAAAGACTCTGGTAGAAAACATTTCATTTTTTCATTATACTAACAAAAAAAGGCATTACCAAACAAACACGCAACTAAAATGAATTTTTTTTGTTGCTTATCTGGAGAAAGAATGAAGAGTAGAACATAACATTTTGCACCATTTTTATTTAGAAATAAGTACACTGTAAGAAACCTGAATCTCCGTATCTCGAAAGAGCATATATGGCAGGCACATCTGTGGAAAGGACTGTAAAAAATGTCTGTAGCTTCTAGACAAAAAGGGAAATCAAGATTTACACAGAATTAACAGTTAGCTCTCAATGATCACCATCATCCATCCTCCAAAAACTACTGTAAGTAATAAAACCTCACACTCACAATGATAGCGCATTGTGTGCCAGGAAGTCACGGAAGAGGTGCTAACAGTAGTCAGTAAACTCAGTATACAACTTCCCTTAAAATAAAAAGACTTCTTGCATACTTCTCTCAGACAAAATGTTATAAGGAACGCCTTGCAATATACCATGAAAATCAGCAAGCCTGCAATATATTAGATGCAAAGAAAAGACTGTCTGTAGAAGAGTGTACTGCGGGATTCTTCATCAGAATAAGGCAATAAGGCAACTCTAGTTTAAATTTGTCAGATGACTGCAGCTGTGGTAGTATGGAGAATGTGAGTCTCCAATGGAAGACTTGGTTATTTCTTCTGAATAAGATAACACAGCAATAAAAATGGTAATGTGTGAGTTTCGAGTATGTCAGATTACTGAATGACAAACTTTATTAGGTAGACTGTATTTATTTGATTTTTTTCATTACGGTAAGCGGTACTGAATATGGAGAGCAGGGTTTTGGCACCACCACCTTTGTGAAACACTTTAAATGCTTTGCTCTTTTTATAAAAAAAATGAAACTATCACTATAGATGATACATCTTGCTGATGGGTAAATTTTATTACCAATGTACATTTTCAGGACAAACAACTCTTAATAAGCTCTAAGGATAAAGTTGCATCAACTTAATTTCCTTTTGCTACTTTGCATTTATCAGTAAAGTCTCATTTTAATATTTATAATCAATATCATTAAAATTTTCACAGATGTTTGAGAATAACATAAATACTGCTTTACATTAATATTTCTTCTATAAACTACAGTAGAATAACTTTTCACAGGACTACCCTTTCAGCCCCCAAACTATTTTATTTTTACTATCAACTAAATCCTTACCCTCAACATGATTATAAGTGTTTATTGCCTATTATAGAGCATTAGAAGAAAAAAAAGTCTTTATATCATTTCTTTCTTAATTGATTCTTATAAGGCAATTTTCATAATGAACTATCTATGCCAAAACCTTAATATTCTCCAGCTGTTTAGTCAAGGGAATGGATACTATTTCCAAAGGAGCAGGATAAAGGAACAGGGGAACTGTTTAGTCAGTTACCCACTCTCTGATGTGAGTCTACATAGCAATATTATTCGCTATTATTAGTTAATGTCTCACTTTAGTACATATCTGCTTCTGGATGAGCCAATCCCATATTTAACTGAATGGGAAAAATGCTATACATTTAGATTATAATAACAAAACTTGGCAATTTGTTTAGCTAACAAAATTCATGTGCAGATTATATTTTCCAGATTATATTAAGAAGATAAAATGAAAAATGAAAAACAAAATTACTAAAACACCTGAAAAAATATGCCGTGATTAAGTGTGTTCCTGTACGTCCTAAAACATGGTCAGCTACAGATATGGGATATAAAGTTACATTTTCCTTTCTCTTCCAATCATATCTCTCCAAGTCCATAAAAATGTTTTTAGCAGATTTCTTGAAAAATTATTACATGTCGTTTCTGAAACATCACCTTAAGATATCAACAGAAAATTCTAGCAACAAAAAATTCAGACGGTTTCTAGCAGTTGAAGATAACAAACCTAAAATAGTCAATACAATCAAGCAATTCCATGGGAAGAACTATTCCCATGTGGACTCCCACTAGGAGCCTTGAAAGCAAACCAAGAACTTAATTTCCATTATCAGAAACTTTCCAACTGATGGAAAAAGAACATAAAACAATACAGGCTGAGAAAACAGCCCTGCAGAAAAGGAGCTGAGGGTCCTAGCAGGCAATTTGAGTAAGAGTATGCTGAAGGCCAGTCACATTCTGGGCTGGTATTAGCAAGACTGTAGCCCACAGGTTGAGGGAAGTGATTCTTCTCCTATATTCAACACTCGTGCTGAATCTGGAGTACTGTGACCAGTTCTGGGCTTCCCAGTACAGGAAAGACATGGACATACTTAAGTAAGTCCAGTGGAGGATCACCCATATGATTAAGGGTCTACAGCACATGATATATGAGAAAAGGCTGAGAGAACTAGGTTTGTTTAGCTTTAAACTTTGAGCAGGGGTTTGGACCAGATGATCTCCAGATGTCCCTCTCAGTATATATCATTCGATAATTCTTAGGATCTACCTCCTGGTTGGCAAAGAAACCCGAAGAAGCCAAACCCCTGAACAGGTGAGCTCCTAATGTCCGCTTTAGGAAGAAGAATCTCTCCCTCCCCATACCCTAAAACATTATACGCTGGTGACAGGAAAGAAAGAAAACTTGGGTATTGGAAAAGATGTTGAGCCTTGGCTCCTAGACTAAAAATAGAGACGGGATGTAGCCCTTTCCTAAAAGATAAGCATTATGTAAGGGAAGATGACTTAGTGGCTGAAAGCTTACCAGACTTGCTACTAAATAAAGTTCAGCCCTAATTAAATTACATCTAGTCCTGCAGGAACATGTTCTGTGTACTTTGTAGAATACAGAGCTGGAATTTTTGTTTGCTACAAAGTGAGTACAACAAAAGTAAAAGAGAAAATTATCAAGATATATTAGAAAAGACAAAGCTTTACCACATTTTAATTTATATATGTATCAAATTCACACTATGTCTCATTAGATAAGCCCCAAGTTTTCTTAATTTTCCTCGTTTTAATCAAGTCAGAGACAGGTAAGATATTCCATGGAAAAGCCAGAACTGGTGCTTATCTAGTGACAAATCCATTGCTTCTATGGGGCGCAAAGGCATGAAGAGTAACCGATTGCTTCCTCCATCCTTTCTCGCCCTGCGCCCCTCCAAGCATCACATCCTGCTTCCAGTAGTTCTGGCACAGCTCCCTCCCTAGCATTCTAAGAGAGTGAATAGTCACTGGGCACTGATTTAAAGTTTCCCCATCGCTCTCT